ACATCAAACGTCCGATGAACGCTTTCATGGTGTGGTCGCAGTTAGAACGACGTAAAATCTGCGAACATCAACCAGATATGCATAATGCTGAAATCAGCAAGCAGGTGATTTGATTTGAACCATTAATATTTCAAAACATGGAGAAACGATTGTTTTGGAATATGGACGCATACCAAATTCTTTTTTTCGGATTTATTACGTTGTAAAGAATTGAAATTGATATTACAATATGTCCACGTTATCTCCTACGAGTCATTACATTCAATTTCAGCTTGGATCCCGATGGAGACAACTAACTGAAGAGGAGAAATCACCTTTTGTAGCCGAAGCAGAACGTCTCCGTCTTATGCATATGCAAGTACGGTGACTACCACTTGTTCCTATTGAGGCCTATCAAAAGCCTCATATAATAACCGATTTAAAGGACCCCACTTGGCCTTTATAAGGAATAAAGAATGAGATGTTCTACAAATTTATTTTAGAAAAATAAATTTATGTTTTAAAACAGTACAAACTAATAGCGTAGCTAAGTCTAATTCATATTTGGGCATCTCAAAAAATTAATATTTTTTAAATCATGTGTTTAAATACTGATTTCTTCAATACAAAGTTTTTTATCAAGACGATACATCAAAACGGCATATCCTGTATATTGTAATTGAAGGGTGCAAACTATGTAGCTTGCTTATCACTACATATGTATGCTTTGCAAGAAGTTTTTAACTAAGTTCTTCAATTCGGTAAAGTATTTTTGCATTGGAAGCAAAATTCCATATAAAATCCATACAGTAACATCAGCGAGGTACATTCTGAGCTAATCTCTTGTTTACAGCTTGGCGCTAATTTTTTGTTTTAGAATTGAGGTATTCAGTCTTATGTCTAGTAGTTTAGCTGCAACTGTGAATGATATCTCAATTTTCTATCTATAGGAGTATCCCGACTATAAATACAAGCCACGCAAGAAGCCGAAGAAGAACCCCGACGGCACGCTGCAAAATCCAAACGCCAGCAACGGGCCGGCTTCTCCAAGAAGCAAACCTTTGAAAAGGTGTGACGGGCTTGCAATACAACTTCTCTAGCTTCCTTCACATTTCTGCATGTGCTTATGCTAAATTCCTTTGCAGACCGTTACCACATGTGACAAGCATCGGCATGACCCTTT